GGCGCCGGCGCCGGTAGTTGCCGTTCTCGAAGAGGTCCAGCAACGACTCGCAGCCGCCTGCGAACGTCCAGTAGTTACCCTTGCCCTTCTCGTGGCCCTCGGTGCGCGGCACCTGTCGGTGCGAGAGGGGCTCAGCGCGGGGCTGGCTCCCAGAGGCGCCCCCCGCCGCCCGGTCTGGGCTCACCCCACAGGTCCATGAAAAGGTGCTGCTGCCCGGTCACTCGGGCTGGGTGGCGTTGCTCACTGAGCAGGGGGAGGCGGCCCAATTGGCTTAGAACGAACTTTCCAGCAGCTGCCCCTGTGACATTGCAAGTCATCAGGGATGACTTGGCACAGGTGTCACCAATCCGGGGACACTCAGGGGCTGATCGGGGGCGACGGGGGTGGGGGGCTCACCTTGACGAAGCAGCTGTTGAGGGACAGGTTGTGGCGGATGGAGTTCTGCCAGGCGCGCTGGTTGGCGCGGTAGTAGGGGAATTTGCGCATGATGAAGTCGTAGATGCCAGACAGGGTGACCCTGTCCGCCGGGCTCTGCTGAATGGCCATGGCGATCAGCGCGATGTAGCTGCAAACCCAGGCGTCAGGCAGCGCAGGCCCGGCGGGGGGTCTGGAGTGTCCCCTCCCGCGGCCCACCCCGTTCTTCCCTCCCCCAGGGCGCCATCGGGGTGTTGGAGGTGGAGAGCCAGGACGAGTTGTTTGGGTAAGTGACCCCTGGAGCTGGCTGCTCCTTGCTCCCACCCAAACCCCAGAACTCTCCTCCACACTTGGGTCTCCCCCTCTCCAGGGAAGTTGAGAGAATCTTCTCCGGCTAGTCCCGAAAGTGCGGACGAACGTGTCCCTTCTCTGAGCACCCCCTCCCCCCGCCCAAAGAAGAAAGCCCCCTCCTCTTCCGCCATCCCAGGCAGGTCCTGGCAACCCAAGCCCCCTGCGGAGGAGGGTCGTCGACTCCCGCGGTCACCTGTACGCGGGCCGCGTGAGCCGCTTCTCCTCGTCGGAGCTGCAGGCCGGGTAGTCGTCGGCGTCGTAATTGAAGCAATTGTAGGGATACTGCGAGCTGTCAAACATCCTGCGCCCGGCGCGTGAGGGGGCCACCGCTGCCACCTCCTCCGCGCTGCCCACCGGCCCGCCAGCTCCGTGCAGAGGTCCTCCCCAGCGCGGGCCAGCAGCGTCTGCACTGCGGGCTGCTCTGCACCCGAGCGGGGAACCTGGGCTTCTGGGGTCCCCCCGCCGGCCCCCACCCCGTTCTCTTGCATCCAATCCTGGCGCGGGGGAGGCCCCAGCCACCGGTAAAGCGGCTGAGGGGAGCGGACCGGGGTGTCTCGGTGACCCTCTGACAAGCCAAGGGAGGGGGAGGAGGAAGCGGCGCGCTGGGTGGTCCCACGGGCGGGGCGGCCACCCGCCGTCTCTTGCTCCTTCCCAGGGCGCCTCGCCGCGCTCC